CCTAACTTTACGTTGATGGTCAGTAGTATGTGAGCTAGAGGATCGGACTTCTTGCCCAGTGAAGAAAGACAGGCAATCAATTCTCCTAAACTTAGCACCTTAACCATAGAAAATATTTGGATTCACAGCGGATTGGTGTTCGCCTGCTGCCTCCGTAGCAAAAAGATTATTAAGCATCAAACAGTGAATTAAAGGGGTGACAGTTCTATATCTCTCGTTCTACTGGGCCGAATGACGAAATTCAACTTGCGTTTTTCATGTTTCGAAAGCGCGGCTTAGGATATGTACTAGATTTATATATGGAATTGTTCTAATATAGGTATTTTGACTCAAGATCAAACTTTTTAAAATCACATGCCAATTGTTTTTCCCTATTTCAATTCTACGACTCAAATTACGCAAAACTATCAAGTTTTGTAAAAATCGCATGAGTAGTTTTTTAAAAAATTAGCTCTCAAAATTTTAGCTCCTCAATTTTAATTGAGTTTGGTATATATATTTATTAAGCTATCTTCTTTTTAATAAACTTATTTGATTCTTCCTTTCTTATTTCAAAATTCAGGTTCATTCTAAATAAAATTCACCCATTTTTTATGATTTTTAAAATTTTTATTTTTAAATAATTTTTTCAAATTTTTCAAAAAAATTTATATATCAAATTTTTACCATAATCTTAAAGTAGACGTATTTCTAAACATACCTGAAAATATTACAGCTTTTATTCAAAATTTCCGAAGATATACGTGAATTTATTATTTATATTCGCGCTTTTTGAAATTTTGCATATTTATTGAAAGCGATAAAATATGAAATGTGGTTTAGGCACTTTGTTAAAAATATTTGAAGGCAGGAACGAAGTGACTTTTTTTCTACTCATGCACAATGTAAAAAGGTAGGAACGAGGTGCCTTTTTTCCGCTCCGGTATACTGGAAGGAAAAGGAAAATAGGTTTCCATATATAAAGAAGTTCGCCAAGTGAATTATTCTTAGCGCAAACTGAAAAAATTGCGCCAAGATAAATTTTTAAATTTCTCCATAAATGTCGGACCAAATTTTACAAAATTTAATATTTAGGCATAATTTGAGTCGTAAAATCGAAATATGGAAAAAAGAACTGGTATGTTATTTCAGAAAAAGTCCGATTTTGTGTCAGAATACCTATGTTAGAATAATGCCATATAAATAATACATATTCTAAGTCGAGCTTTCGAGACATGAAACGCAATTTGAATTTTGTCAATCGACTTAGTAGAACGGGAATTACTGTGTCCCCCTTTTTTTGCGCAGTGTACACACCTAAGAGATCAACGTACTCTATACTTTTGTTAGTTAACGTAAATCTAAATATTCGTATTGTTTTCGTATCGCACTGAAACCTATAAAAAATTGTGTACTTCAGAAAATGTTTTTAATACAGATTTTATTGTTCTTATAACAATGCACATCTTTACATTCTTAATAATTACATTTTTTTTGTAAGACGTTTTACTTCTTTCTTCAAATTTGCCTTTGGACTGTAATTTTAAGTGTGTGTATTTTCTATATGCAACTAAAACTTTGGTACCTTTTTTATTTTATAAGAGCAAGTAACTAACAAAATTGAATATGAGTAATCCTATTGTAGATGCTTACACGTAGTCAGCATTTCGAAGATTCATTTTTAATTTGTTTTTTTGTTGAAATTGCTTTGTAGCTTCCATGACACGGATGACCATTTTAATAATATTATAAAAGTACTTTCCTCCTTGCTCGTTTTTATTGTCACAAATAAAATATAGATGAATGTTTTTCGCAATGAAAATGAGATTTCTTACCGTTGTGCTTTGGAATTACACACGATACTCTTTTTTACTTTGCTTTAAGAGAACACAGCACTGGAGAATGAAAAAAGAAGAATATAACCCTGTGCGCTAAACCGTGACATATTCAATCGTTTATCATCCAATGCAACAAAAAGAAAGACATAATTTATCTTGGTATTTTGTGCATAGAAACGGACACTGCAGCTGGATACTCGTTTCTTAATCACAGATGCGATTTTTTAACATCTGGTAATCGATATTTTGCATACCTTATTAAGGTTCTGACAATTTATTTTGTTAATTACGTTTAAGAGAATAGAGGATTAGGAAGTATGAATTTTTTTATACCAGAAGAAAATATGTCGTTAAAATACTTTTATGAGAAAATGGACTTCGCGGGTTTCATTAAACAAAAGAAACATCTTTGGTGAATAAGTGATTCATTTAAAACTCTATATTTGATGATGGTAGGTAGAACATTCGAATTTTGAAATTCAGTTTAGGGTAGGTTATAATTAGATATGATAGAAATGGAAAATAGGATGAAGATATATATGCTAGTTTTATTCGCAAATTTCCTTAAAGGAAGAAATGGATATTCAAATTAAGTAACCTATCGACAGTTTTATCAATAATTATGATTGATTTAGTTTGGTTTATTTGATTGCGGCAAAGCCCACGAGGGCTATCTGGCTAAGGGGGAGTGATGCCTTCGTTCAGTAATTATAATATATGGAATCCTCCAATCATAATAAGCAGTTTGGAAAATCTTAATATTACGTTAGTTGCTTTCCATTTCTGAAATTCTCTTATAAGATATTTTCTCCTTTCTTTCTTCATGCCTTCGTGATGTAACGGAAGCACAATCGGCGCGTATTCGAAAAGTCCAGGTTTTTATCATTGCACATTTTTTACATACTCCTGCTTCAAAATAATCTAATGACTCTACAGTGGCACCCGAACTAAAAGGTTGTGAATAATGATTCTTCACCACCAGGATTTGGCGACTGGGTCACCTAATCCCCAGTAGGCTTTAAAAGGAGGAGTATATAAGGTATTTCCTCCCTCTTTTCCGCATGCATTCGTGGTGTAACAATAGCACACTCGGCGCGTATTTGAGCGGTCTAGATTCGAGTCCCGTTTCAAGCATCAAATAGCCTAATGACATTTCGAAATTTAGGCCAGTTTAGAATGATTTTTTTACTACAAAATACTCAAAGACATGTCTAAGATTACGACAAAGCCATTAAAGGCTATGAATAAAGAGAAAGCTGACATACATTCTCGCATGATTATCAGCTAGACTTGTCTATATTTCTAATTCCACCACTCAGATAGCAAGAACATATAACCACAGCCATTTGAATTTCCTAAAAAATTCGAATCCACGTTTGATCACGTTTTCCGTTTCTAATTAGAAGATAACACGTAAGAAGTTATTTGCTATAACATCAGTGATCCCATATGCCAAAACATTTCTGCCATGGTTCAAATAAAATTTGATCAATGTAGAAGCCGTTCATCTAAGCCGATGTTTTTTAACTAATAAATCTAAGACGACATGTGATATCACTTGTTAGTAGCAGTTTCATGTTGAAAACTGATAATACTATTTTGTCTCCCTATGCAACTACGAGAAATTCTTTGTATATTTATTTTTCACCAAAGTTGCGTAGGTGGAAGAACTTATGTGCTTATTTCATCAGATTTTCTGAAACTGGCTCGCTACCAGAGACAGATTATGTAAATCAACAAACCTTTGTTCAAATGGAAAAAATAATTTTTCTGAGGAATGAAGAGGTTAGAAATTGGTCAAGTGATGGGAGCAATGGTTATGCTTTCTGGTAGCTTATAAAATGATAGCATGCGGTCAATGTCATTGTGACTTTCATACCCCCAGACAAACATGCGAGGTTCATAGAGTGTGAAGATCAGTGTGATGGAGGAAGCCATCTCAAGGTGACCTTGACTTAGGAGGAAACAGTCTTAGGTTGGTAGCAAAAAGAACGCTTGGCACGAATCCTAGAATTCTGGAGAGGTTAGGGACGATTTAAGAAACGCCTCCTCGTTACAACAACCTAAAAACCATCAATTTTTTGTTCCTCAGCTCAAAGACGGTGCTGCACGGGTGAAAAATATTCTTGTTACGTTCTACATTTTCTCCCGAGAAGCGCTGTTTATGTAGAAAATTGGAAGATTTGTCGGTATGAATCATGCATTTCTTGGCTGAAAATGATGGATGGTGCTTTTTCAATGAATATGCTTTCCATGTGTAAAAACAGAGCAATATTTTGCCCTTTTTGTTAAATGTAATAACTCATTGAATATACTATTAACCCCTCAGCGTGTTCATGGAAAACAAAACACTACGAAAAACAAAGTATTATTAAGCGCTAAGTGAAACAATGAAATACTTTTCACAGGTAATAAGATTGGTAGAACATGCAATCAGAATGAACAATTAAATTAAGTTCATTAGTGGACTTTATTATCACATTAATAAAGGGAAATGTAATAGTAAAGAATCGTTTGGTTTATTTATTGCTTTCATCGCTTTGCAATTCTTCACGCGATTTTAGTTAATCGAAGCTTTCCTATTGAAATTTCCTGCCTGAAACGTATTATTTAACGGGTATGCTTTGGTTGTATCTTTACTTATGTTTTCACGTTAGCTTTTCTCAAGTCAAAATGAAGTTTTAAAAGCATTTCAGCTTTACAACTCCATCAAATTTTCTCATAAAAGCGGGTTTAAAATTTATGCTTCGGCTCACAAAATCGTAATGCATATGGAGAAATAGAAAGATCTAAAAATAGTACACAGACAGGAAAAAAACAGAATGACTGACAGGTAGAAATATGGATCAACTAATCCAATCATGAAATGCTCTATTTCCATTCGAATAAGAATATTCTTATTTGAATGGATTATTTTATTTTTCTTCTATTCGGATAGGAATTCCGTTTTATTCTAACCTATTTCCATTCGAATAAGATTTTAATTTTACCGCTATCTGATTGGTAATTATATTTCATTCTCTTTTTAATCGATTAAAAATCGATTTATTTACTATTTTTTGTAAAGTTTTAATTTTGTAAATTATCATACTAATTATGATTTATGTTACCTTTCAGAGTTTTACTCTTAACGCTTTTATTTGTTATTCTTTTCATCATTTAATTTCTCATGTTTCATTGCAGGAATAAGAAGAAATTACTGACCGCTCTCGTCTAACATCACCAACGGGTTCTTTTCACTTCGGAACAACTAAAACTGTGATGATAAAAAGAACTGACAGAATGCAATGAAAGCGTCTTACCCACAAAAGGTTCTCTAAGGAAAAAAAGAGAAGGTAAACACTTCTTTTTATAAGCATCCTAAGTAACGCTTTTAACGTAAGATCTTTCTTTGTACTTTAATCTTGTAATCTTTGTACTTTAAAGTTAAATAATCAGATAAAAGCATCCAGGCTTTCATACTGACGTCATGCTTCTGAAATCTGACTTTCTGACGTCATATTTGGCAACCTGTCATAGTTTTATCACATTCTATTGTTAATCTCTTGAAACATAGGCTAGCTATTTTATCTGTGGTGCATTAAAACGTAGCTGGCATTTGAATTCATTTGGAGTTATGTGAATATAAAATTAGCTCTATTTAGAGGAGGGTAAATAATAGTGTGACGTCGTTATGGAATCATGTGAACACAAAACTAGTTGTATATAGGAAAAGCAAACGAAAAGGATGGCATTGAGCTACGAAAAACGAGGATAATATAATTAGCTATGCATTCATGGATAATTATCACTAGCGAATATATAAACTCTGACAAAAAGTTCTAACCATGCTACACGCGAATTAGAACTCAATGAGATTGCTCAAATTCTCGTTTCTTCAACTGTAATGACATTTATTCTTTTTAGTCGAAAAGGGAAGTTTGTGCAGAAGTGAACCTATTAGTTTCGTTTTGGCATTTTAAGTTGGTTTGCTGTAAACGGCGTTTCACTTCTCAAATTGTTGCCACTAAGTATTAGATTCTTGGATTATATTTCAAGAAATTAATAACGAAGAATCTGCATGAATGTATGTATGTTTCTCGCTCTGTGAAAAAGCAATGGCATCTAGAGACATCAAATTTTGAATAACGTAGTCCTTCACACGCATATGGGCATCTGGAAGCCCAAATTTGGAATTTGTTTTATTATCTATTTCCTATTTTGTAAAACTTGAATGAATTTTGGATTAACAAACTCAACGATTTCAAGCCGAGGAATGGCAACTCTGCACGAAGGAAAAAAAAAAAACATTTTTATGTTTTATGCGCGAGACTGTGTATCGGAAACTCTTATGATATGCCCTTTAAAATTATTTTGTGATATTGCTGTTGAATTTGATTTCATGTTTTGAATGCGAAAAACATAATATTTAATAAAGAAAGGCAAAACACAAAACGTTAAAAAAGACGCCCCTTCGAGCGTAATATAAAATCTGAAATCTTTGAGATTTTTCCTCCCTCTTTGTTTAGAAACGGCTTTAAATTATTTAAGGTATTGTAAAATGTATTTGATTATGACAAAGTACTCGAGGGCTGTCTGCCTAAGTGGATGATTGCCTTCGTGGAGGATTTTCTGAAGAAAGTGACTCGTATACACTTTGCGCATGCAGAAAACCGCGGAAACGCCCATGCAACCAGCCCCTTCGAGAGATACCGAACTACCAGTGTTCAGCGACTTTACCGTTCGGCCATTGGGTGGCTTAATTTACGTACAGGAATTTATTCTTTAGATTAAACTGATTGAAAATGCAGGTGTTTATTTCGTGTATTTTCCCTTTTAATTCCCATTAATCAACCGTAATTTTGCGCTAATCTTTGACTTCGAGCCCGATATTATCCCAGCCAATCGGAAATCGAGAATATATTATTTCTAAGGTAAGAGATGTATTGATATTAATATATATAAGCGGTGTCCGTAAAAATCGATACCTTACCTTTATTTTCTCAACTATTGGTCGTAGACGTATACTTCTAGTTGCAAAAAAGATTCAAATGACGCTAAGATTCATGTTTGGGGATTTTTAAATTTAAAGAAATCAGTTTCATAAAAATTTTACGAAATCTAACTTTCTGCACGGTCTTCCAGTTCCTATGATTATACTTAGGAAAATTTTGTACTCATTATGAAAAATAAAACACAAATGTTTGACTCCTGTACTACAACACCATATAAGTAACAGAACGACTTTACCCAATTCTGCCGAAATTATGAAAGCTAGCACCTTGGGGACCAGACGTAGATTCTCCCATTCCTCTTCCTTTGTAGTTCGACCATGGAAAATGCAACTTTGGCTGGCATTCTGCCAAAGCAATTAAAATCGTCCAAAAGGGGTGTTAATTACTTGCTGCAACATCAGGAGGACATATGAGAATTCGCTCTTTGCCGGGACGAGGGAATTTATTGTCGAACAAGGGAAAGTCATGTGTCATCGAATGATCCTGTCGTCAGCTGTCCTGCGAGCCTTCATATCTGCAGAAATAAAAGGGATGATTTTGATTTGCAACCCTAGAAACAAAAAGGTGCTGAAAAATTTTTGTTTCATAATACATCAATTTTATGTGAATAGTGCATATTTTATTGTTTAATTAAAAAAATATCACCATAAATAAAGGAACTGTATGTTTTAGTGGAAATATTCTTGTTGCAGTTAAAATAAAAAATTAAAAAAAAAAAAAAAACCTCTCGACAATTTTTTTTTACCCCGTTTGAGCCGGATTTTACCTGATTGTAGTTGATTTAACATGTTATATAAAAATTTTTGTCATTCTTTTTTCCCAAAATAAATTTTATCACCAAAATATCAATATATCAAATAATGCATATAGATTTCAGCATAAAACTCCAAAGGAAATATAACAAATATTAATTATTAAAAATTTTTTCAGCGTTTATTAATGTAGGTACATTTTTAGCTCAAAGCAAATATATATATATATATATATAATGAGAATTAATTATAGTATATATTTATAGTATATATATATAATAATTATTTATTATCGTAAAGTTATTATAATCAATTATAGTAATTGTCATATTAGACTTAATTGTAATGAAAATGTAAGAATGGTTTGGTTTGGTTTTGGTTTATTTAATTACGGCAAAGCACACTAGGGCTATCTGCCTAAGGGGAGGGATGCCTTCGTGGAGGACTTTCTGAGGGAAACTGACTCGTATACACGTTACACATGGGGAAAACCACGAAAACGCCCATGCAGCCAGCCCGTTCGCGGGATTCGAACCTCGAACCGAACTACCAGTGTTCAGCGACTACTACCTCCGACGACCGAACTACCTCCTTAAGTCTGTGCTCTTTGACATCGTACTTTGTACGCAGTAAGAATAAGCAGGAGGGAAAAAAACGGAAAATTTCACTTCTACCTGGTTCACGGCCATGTACCTTATTTCGTAAATAAATCGGTCCGAATGTCGCATGCATGTTTGTGCTCATGGTTACGACTGGCTCGGTTAAAGGCCATATATATATTGCCTAGAATACTTTTGTGATGCCTGTATGAACGTATATATACGTGCTTTTTGAAATATGCCTAAAAAATTAAAGTAATGTATTAAAACTCAGGTTTAAAGTACGAGGGACGGTTTGGCATTAAAATCAAGAAAATAATTTTTTCTCATGGCAGTTAAAAAATTTGAACTTTCTTTTAAAACCCCGTGCCGGTCATAACTAACCACTATCTGGCCTGGGCGACGATCACCCGCGTAAAGTTTCAGTGTATAGCAATGGTTTCCTGTTGGACTAAAAATCTTTAAAAATGGCTAAAACAGAAGAAAAAAGAATAATTGTTTTTAAAAAATTTATTTCTTACGAAAACGGTAGTTAAAACTATTTTTCATCTTCATTACGAAGTTCAAGCTATATGTCAATCTTTTAGCAAACGCTTACCCTTTAGGGAGAAAAGAGAAGAATGTATTTCATTAAACGCTTGTTTAATGCAGCATGCTATTTTTAGAATTCAATTGAAAATGTCTTCGCTTTCGTTGGAGAAGAGTTCTCTGAGGAGTATTTCTTTCAATGATGTTAAATCTCACTAACTGTCTTGACAGATATTTGTGTTTCTTGAGTCAGTTACGTTTCATTTGATTTGCTTTTTCTGATTCGGTTAATAAATATTTATAAACCGAATTTTGACGCATTTAACTATAGTGTTTTATTGTATCTCATCATTTCTAAATGTATATCAGAAAGTCCGTTTAATGTCACTGAAATAGTTTAAATTCCCATTAATGTTTTTCTTTGATTCAGTATTTCTCAACACAGTTGCCACTATTGGTGATGCATTTTTTCAAATGATAATTTCGTTATTTGTAACACTTGCGGCCGAGATATATGCAATACTTATCTTCAGTTTCTTTCGGAAATAAAGGCCCTTATTTCGGGAAAGTACTCGGAGAAAACAGCTAAGTGAACAAGTTAAATACAGCGCCAAGGAAAATATCTATAATACGACAAAATATTTTGTGATTTTTATTAACGCCAAAGTCGTCATCTGAAGTAATTATTTTAAACGTAATAATCATAGTTTCCAAGAAAATAAATACGGACAGAGCGTTTAAATTACTACCATAAAATCATTGGAATTTCTGCACGATAAAAGCATGGGCCATAGACTTCATATTTTTGCGTGTGTGACTGTTAATTGAAACGCCGCTACTTTCATATGCTTTATAACTGATTACACTTAATGAATGTTGTCATTCTGCTGATGTTCCTAAATCTCCTTACACATGTTATGGAAGGTCTCATGAGTTTCTTGTGATTTTGTTCTACCATTGGTTCGGGTGTAGTTATCTTAAGCACTACCCGAACCGTAGAATTTGCCCATTTTCATCCTAATTTTGAAGGAATGAATCTGAGAATCTCCCAACATGACTTTCAGACCAACAAATTTTAAGTGCCCTTATTTCTCAAAGAAATCATAGTCCCAAGAACAGTTGCATTGTTTGGTACTTAAACGGTAGCCCATTATCATGGTAGCTAGCCTACAGTAATCAAAGAATCAAAGAATTAATCATGGAATTAAGTAATCAGGATATCACGGGATTAACCCTACTATCCTGGGGTTCGCAAACAGGGGAAATTTCATATTTTCAGGGAAAGGGAACTTGGTTAGCCTTTTATTTAGCTGTTAAGTATTTATATATTTATGAATATAAAATATCTAATGTGGACATCACATGACTTCCTTGTGCGACCTATTAAATTATACAAACTTTTTGCTGCAGTTCATTTAAACTTATTTCTTGGAATTTTATTAGAAATATATTTCTCATTCAA